CGTTCGAGATTCGGCCGCTATCGGCTTGGAGGTCTTGTTGTTTCCAGTATGACTCGATTATATCCCGTAGGACGAATACATTGCCAATGTGCCGTTCGTTATCCATTCGATCAAGCGCCTGGAGAATCATTATCCTCTGTTGATCGTTCTCGGTCTCGCACGCGATGACAAATAGCGGCCAAGGGCTTGTGCACACTTCTAGGCTAGTCAAGGCCTGGAATGCCTGCTCTAGATACATTGACCTAAGGTCCTGGTTCTGGTTGGATTCGCCTGTTCTATGTAGGTAAAGGAGAGCTGCGATTCGGTAAAGCTCAGCAGTAGTAAGAATCCTGGTTCGCTCATGAGGCGGTAGGCGGGCTGCGTCAAGGGGATCTAGGTGCTGTGTGAGGCTTGTTATTCTACTCTCAATCACATGCCATTCATCAGCCCTCCGAGCACGCTCTTCGGGACTGAATTCTATAGATTCGCCCCGGAGCTCGATGGCACGTAATCCATTCACGTAGCTAATAATCTCCATAACTTCGACGGAGCATCCGAGTGACCCTATAATCTACTGACAATCAGCAACCCTGGCCTTGGTAAAAAGGGTTGGTGGGAGAAAAATACCAAAGACTTGTCGAAAGTCGTATCATGTAGAAGTTGTAGAGATGCCGGACCCCGGAACCCGTGTTGGAGAGGCTGGCTGAAACCACCTAGAATCTCGTGGTATAAAAACCAGGTGTACAAGAAGCCGTACTTCAACCGCCCACCGTGGACAGAAGCGAGTCTGTGGAGAATGGTTTGAGCGCCGTGCAGGTGCAAGTTCCAATTGCCTTCAGTCTCATCGAAGACCTTTTTCATATTAGCGACCCGTACGCGGGGAACCTCTGATATGTCCTCACATTGTAGACGCAGAGCATCATTGATGTGGCCAGCTGCGTCTCAGTGATACCAATCGATTCGCTCGACAAGGAGGAAGATAGCGAGCGAAGCGCGTCGGCCTTGTACGATAGCGCGTGCTCCGGGCCCCAGAGGTGAAAGGCAGACACGGCCAGCATGGCATTTCGAAGGCCGTCAGAAGCGCTGCCGACGGTTGAAAGTGCCATGGGTAACAGATCGTCGCGAAAGCCATTGTTGACGTCAATAGTGGATATCATTTGAGAGAGCTTACTCCGGTCTGAAGGCGGTGTGTATTAGTAAAGGCTCGAAATGCAAGGAGCCGAATTAAGCTTGGGGTCAGTCCTCACAGTATTCAATGAGATGCGACTCTCGTTCGTGGAGGTTCGTGAATAGCGGGATGGGTCGTCCCGGTCGCGGTTGGGCACGAATGATTGACAGGCAAATAGGCGAGATGCCTTTCCTGGCAACGGCTAGGTCTGAGTAAGTCACATTCAGAAACTGCTTCCCGTAATAGGCCAAATCGATTTCGTGATGGTGGATCGTGTGGTCAGGAAGGCGATTTAGTCTGCGACGACCGTCCGGCTGATCTGGCCATGCGAGGCGGATCCCGTAGCCCAGGCATTCTCTCCCGGTGCGAAGACAGTTGTTACAGGCAGGGTAGCCGCGGTCACATCCGATCTTACGTCCTTCCGACGGTTTAGTAACCTGGCGCGAGTGCTGATGTTATACTCAAAACTTACGTTTGCACGTCCAACACCCCTGCGCCCGTCTAACAGTCTCCATCGTTCGGCGTGTGAAGTCGGAATTAGGCTTGAGTCTTTAGTTTGAGACCGCGCGCACGGGGTCTGAGCCTTGCATCTTCGGTACGGGTTTTGACTTCTTCACAGTGGCGAGGCTGGAAAAGTAGGGCAGCGGCGCAGACGTGGAGGCAGAAGGGGTATATTATCCAGAACGGCCGATAACAGAACAGATAGTCTACTTGTGTCATCCAGTTCTCGAATATCCTATCATACGACGCATTGCAACGATTCAGCTGTACAGTGTAGCCAAGCTGGGAGACTTTGGCGATAGGGTGGTCCCCGGTGCGCCCTTGGTACATTGAATCTACGTCGAGCCCATCAGTCGGTCGCAGCGATATCGTACAATCTAGGTTTGTCAGGAATCTCCGCAATCCCCTACGAACCAATGGGACGACGACTTGCTGTCGGGGGTGCTGGCAACTCAAATCCCGAGTGACCGGGCAAGACCCCGAGCGTTTGGCTCTAAAATGCCTAGATGCGCCACACACGCCAGGCGGAAGGTGAAGAAGAATTAGAAGTTGAAAATTTTCGAATCTGAATCGACGTCGGTGATAGGAACAGGAGTTATTATTGACGGCTTAGTCGGCGACGAGACCAGTGTTCGGCAGTTCGGCGATTAAGGAAACGGGACGCTTGTGATGGCAAAGCGTGATGAGGCAGTCGTGCTGACGAAACATGCGAGATACAAGCCTCTCTACCTCTACGTCATGCTCAGGCCATTGTAACACATAAGACGACGATTTTCAAATCCCATAAATCCCCCATTCCCCGTGCTGGTTTGCACGACGATGCCTTTGCACACCTCGATCCTTACACAGGAGAGATCTCGGACAGAGAGAGAGAGAGGGTACACCTGGAGTATGGACCCCCAAATGACGGCACACTCCCTACCTCTTGGCAGTTCTCGATCTGTTTCGACCGGTGAGATGGGGGTAAGGACGGAAATAAGCATTTGGACAGACTGGGGAAGGTCAGAAGAGATCAGGCGATGGCGACTTCGAGATGCCAGGGGTTCTCCGCGGGGGAACCGTCTGCTGGTATACAGGTCGACTCCTTATTGGATTGTTGCCCGTTAGGCGCAGATAAAGCTAACGGAATAGAGCTTCGGTACGGCATCCTCGTAAGCTTGCGGAACGCTCCCGTCATGCAAACATGTGAATGGGTCCTGGCGCAGGATCCGGGGACAAGATAAGTTGCATACACTACATGTATGTAAGTTTGTCACGCTTGGGTTACCTATCTGGGCAAGGGAGAGGTGAAAGGCGGAAAGGTGTGGAAAGGTGGGAAAGTGGCTGGAGAGAAGAGGCTTGATGACCTCGGGACTAACTTACATAATCTCGAGCTCCCACTTCCCCTGTCTTGTGGCTACGCGGTATGTTAGTATGTAACTAACGGGTAACTGACATGGCATTCGGTCATGCTTACCTAAATAGTATTGAAGCATACTCCACCTTCGTTAGCACATGAACGAATTAGGCAGTTCCCGAGGTTCAATTCACATGTGCAAGGGCCGAGAGACGAGAGACAGCGTCATCGCTATTGCTTTTAATGTAGCCTTAAGCTTACTCGATCCTACGATCCTCCTCGAACTTTGACTTCCTACCAACTTTCATCTCGTGTGCTTCCCGACTAAACCCATCGCTACCACCTACAGCTTCCAATCGAACCAACTCTCGGCCAGAGATACCAGCAAAATGGGTCTGAAGAATGGTATGGTGTCGCAATTGCGCTTTCGCGCTTCCCCAAACTACTCCGTAGACTGACAACATCCTTGCGGCAGACAAGTTCCCTTCCTCGGCAGCCTTCGATGCTATCAACGAGGCTCTAAGCTCGAGCGAGGCCGATAAGAAGGACGCCATCAAGCAGGGCAATGCCGTCTTCGCCTTTACCCTAAAGAATAAAGCCGGCGAGACCGAGAGTTGGCACATTGACCTAAAGGAGAAGGGTACTGTCGGGACTGGTCTGGGGACTAAACCAACGGGTAACTAGCGCCTCATTGCAATTTAAATACCAGGCTCATTCATGTGGGATTGTATACTAATTTGTTCTATGGCAGTCACCCTATCGCTCTCGGATGAAGACTTTAGCAAGCTCGTTTCCGGCCAGGCCAATGCGCAACGGTTATTCATGTCGGGAAAGCTTAAGATTAAGGGCGACGTCATGAAGGCGACCAAGCTACAACCTATCCTCCAGAAGGCACAGACCAAGGCTAAGTTGTAGGAGGTCTTCGGTTGCAGCTGGCGCGTAGTCCACATTATGTATAACATGAGCAACTAAATATACCACTTAATACTATATACACGTACAAGTCGGATATTATGATATCTACAAGCTTTAAATGGTTTATTGTGTTCGTCCGCCACAAGGTGTCTACATAGGTATGGAGGTGTATAAGAACGGCAGTTGAATCCCGTGGTGATCGCGATCATGATCCTATCTAAATGCAGTGGAAAGTCCTTGTCTCCAAAATTAACAGATAATGTAATAGTCTCTTGAGGTGGCTGTGTCGGACCCTAGCGCTAGCAAGAACTGATTTGCTACATGGCAAAGTAGAAGTATTCTTTGTCTATGGTGTTCTTTCGGTTGATTCCTCAGTCAGTAAAGCTGATAAGATACCTAAACATAAAAGGACTCTTACCAAAGGTACAACTCACATAGGCAGCCAGCAAGACGTACAGTCGGGACGGTCGTAGTATTCCTGGATGATACCCTAGAACATACAAGACTTTTATTCAATATCATGAGCTCTCTCCAAGAGGTATTTACTTGTGCAGGGCCCAGTAGGTCCTGCTACCTGTCTTCCACTCTATATTCCCTCTATATTCCACTACGTAGGCTAGCTTCGTGATGGTTCTCAAATTAGTATACTAGGTACATACGTATTGTCGAACTACATCCATGGATGTAGTTAATAACTACATAGAGAATGCAACTTAATGTTGTGCTTCTTTGTTTAGAGCTGCTTAAAGAAAAGAAAGAACCGTTACAATCGCTTAGTTGAGAATCATTGTCTCCTATAGTTGATCCAATCAATACTAAGGTAATGTACTGCAAACTCTAATGTATGTATGTATTTGTTTACGTCCGAAGGACGTATCTATTAGGTGTGTATAGATACATTACACGCAACTATGGCGCATGGGACGGCTGGAGTACCCAAGGGCAGAGCCAGCTTATCGCTTGACATAAGAAATCCTCCGCTCCGGCCTAATGCCTTACCCCCTTTTCGCTGCCAACTAGGGAAAAACCTCGGATCTGACCTCGATTCTGCTCCACCTTCCTTATCAAAGGATCCGAGTAAAAACCTGTTAGACTTTTCGGTTACCCCAGTGGGACTCGAACCCACTTGCACTGCTCTATTTCCTCGTCGGAGGAAACAGAATGCACGGCCAGGCGCTAAACCACTGCGCCATGGGGGACTGCAAACTCTAATGACATCCACGCGGCATGGAAGGCCGTAGAGCTCTGTACCTGCACGTTAGCGTTCTAGAATACGTGAATTGTTGACTTTGGAAAGGGTTGATCCAATAACCTTCAAGATCACAGCACAGTTGGGCATATCTTATGGCAAGGATCATCTGTGCAAGCGTAATAGAAAATAGAAAACATGACAGGTGGCCTGTGCTGCTTCTGCTTCTGCTTCCAAGAGTACCAGTACTTGAAGTACTTGGCAGCTTGGGCAGGCGCGTCGTGATTTTGGCCCAATGACGTGAATTTGTTGCCGGAAACCAGTCGCTTACTCACTGGTACCCAATCGATTTCAATGACCTTTCTCTTGCACCATGTGGGCCGCGAGTACAGTCAGTGCGGGGGTACGTACCTTCCCTCTTTGTGCTCAATGTTTTCCTTGTTAGGTGCACAGGCCACGGCTCACAGAACCCCGAAAAATAATAACATCACTCCCTGTCAGCCCGTTCCTCTCCAGAAAGCAAAATCTTCCTGCCCTTGCCTGTTGTCAGGGTGTCGAGAGATCGTCGGCCATCATCAACCACAACTCCCATCCCATCCAGGCCCATTTCAATTGTAGCGCGTCGACACCTCTCGAAAATCTTTAAGACTTACCGCTTTGACTTTTCTGCCCTTCTTTGGCATTAACTCCACCTCTTCATTCATCGCCTTCCTCCAACTTCCGACTGGTCGCAAGCGGGTCGCCTAGGTAATCACACGTTCGACCATCATTCTCGCCGACGCGTCCATCATCCACGACGCTACTTTCTTCTTTCCAACAACTCCAACCAATCCGCATAACTCACCGCGTCACAATCCATTTTCCAACCATTTATACACGATGAGTACAACTACACCTCTCAAACCTCGCCCTCCGCCGGGTCAGCAGGGTTCTACACCTTTCCGATCTTCTTCAACAAGCAGGTTCCGGTCATCGCTTGTCCCCATGAGTAAACCGTCCCCCGCGCGCGCTTCGCGTCTTACGGGCAAGCTGGCAACGAACCAATCGTACGGTCGCGATCTTTTCCGCACTTCCACTCCGCAGACTGCTCGTACCACCAAGTTCGCGCCAGCCCTACCGGCAGATGCAACGAAGACAACTCCTACCGCCCGCAAATTTGCTCAGAAGGCTACACACGCGGGCATGTCTGGTATTTCGTCGACGGAGCTGTTTAAGATGAGGATACCATCCCCGGACCCCGAATTGTCCGGGGAGGCTCTAGCGAAAGAGGTTCCCAAAGATCCCAACCGAACTGGGACCATATATGCCGACCAGTTTCTGGCACACAAGTGTCCTCCAAACTTCGATGATCTTCAGCGACGACAGTTTTTCTGCATCCTCGATTTACGAAGACTCAAATATGCAGCCGATGAGATCTTTGTGAAAAAGGACTGGAAGCTGAATATAATGAACTTCGCGAAAGAATATGAGAAGAGCAGGGGTTTGATTATGCTTCGATACGGGCTTTATGAATTCAAGAATGTCAAGCCGTCAGAAGAAGTGCTCAGGAAGTGGAGGGCTACTCACAACCTACCAGACCCTGAACCAGAATCCGAGAGCGCAGGGATGGGGGCTTCAGTCCAGAATAACCGCCGCACCGGCACTCCGGGCACATCGACGAAGCGCAAGGCTGACGAGGAACTGGCGCCGAAGGATAATGCCCTGATGGCGTCCACCGCCAATCAGAATAAGCGTCGCAATGTGCTTCAAGAACAAGCCGATCCCGTTCTTACGGGACCCGCACCCTTCAAGAAGACCAAACGTAAGGCCGAGGAGACTGACGAGCCTGACGAAAACCAGCCCAATAAAGTGCAAAAACCTACTCCTTCCGCTGCCAAGTCGAAATTTGAGAGCATTCTCAATAGAGCGCAAACTGCCAACGGCACGCCCCTCAAAAGGGCTCCTTTGGCATCCTTTGGCACCCAGAGATCTGGTGAATCCCTGAACTCGAGTCTCGCCAGCAAATCGAACCCATTCGCAGTGTCTACCAATGGCTTCAAGTCCGCAACGGCAGAGACTGCAAAGGAGGACAGCTCCACTGGATCGGTACTCGCCGGGCACAAGGTTGGATCGATGCCAACCAAAAGCACCGGTAATATTTTCAGCTATCTTTCCGAGAGTTCCGCGAATAGCAGCGGCAACGAAAATGGCAATGCTGATGAAGGCGATACCGAGTCTGAATCGGAAGAAGGTGACAGTCAAGAGCCGCCAGCCAGCGAGCAGCCCAGCGCCGCTGGTAGTGTTGGCACCAATACACCTTCAACCCAAAGCGATTCTACTTTGTTTTCCAGCAACAAGCCAAGTACCCAGAACCTTTTCGGCCAATCGAATAAAGATATCTCGAAAGGAGGTCTCTTTGGGCGGGTTCAAATGGGATCTAATGGTCAACCACTCCGAGCTACAACTAATGTAGAAGAGCAACCTATTTTCGCCTCAGCGAAAAAGCCCGCTACTGAAAAGGAACAAATCAAGACTCCGGCTAAGCAGCCAGGTGACTACACTTTCAACCCAGCAACAACCCCGATTTCTTTCGGCCCGCCAGCGTCTCACGTCGCCTCAACCCCGGCAAAGATTTCCGATGTAGAATCAGGCAAGGAGCCCACCAAAACCGAAGATTCAGCAACGGCAAAGGCGTCCCCAGCTCTATTTGGAGCGAGTGCCCCAGCCAATCCGGCTTTCCAGCCCACTGCTGCATCATTGTTTGGTGCGTCCAACGTGACGTCTCAAGCGAAATCGAATGGCGCGACAAGCTCAATCTTTTCAGGTCAGAAGTCTACCCCACCGCCTTCTAACCTATTCAATCCCACCGCTGCTAAGCTATTCGGCGGCGTTGAGAAAGCCAGTGAAGGAGACTCTTCAGCTTCTAAGGGACAGCAAAAGGTCGCCTCCGATACTGCCCGAGGATCTGCTGATAGCACCCCTCAAGCTGAGACCAAAGAAACAACACCAGCTCCTAAAGAGTCTACCCCTCTCTTTGGTGCCTCGACAGCGAGCACAGCTGCTCCAACCCAAAACAACTCCTTGTTTGGTAACAGCCCTGTAACTACCGCTGAGTCCAAAAGCACCAGTGACGCTAGTAGCAAGTCACTATTTGAAAACACTGGAAAGTCTTCTACGTCGAGCTTGTTCGGCGCTTCTCCAAGTACGACAACGTCATTCGGCACAGATAACGCCAAAGTTAATGGCTCTGGCGCAGCGAAGTCCGTATTTGACACTCCAGGCAAGCAGCCAGCCACGGGCTTTACTTTTGGCGCCTCGAAGGCGGAGCCCGTGAGCGGGCCGAAGCCAAGTTTCGGTTCGGAAGGATTTAAAACTAACACAACACCGGCTCCCTCGCTGTTTGGCAATAATTCAGCCACTTCAACAAGTATATTTGGCGCTAAGAGTGGCGAAACTGCGCCTGTTGAAAAACCTGCTACTCCAGCTACTCCTTCGCTGTTCGGCAACAACTCAAGCACATCGGCTAGTCTATTCAATTCCAAGAGTGGCAGTGTAGTGCCTGCTGAGAAGAAAGATGAACCCGCGCCCGCGAAGCCATCAAGCATTTTCAGTAGTGCCCCTTCTAGTACCGGACCTAGCTTCGTCTTCGGAGCACAGCCTACAACTCCGGCTACGAACACTGCACAATCCTCGTCTACACCAGCGATGATATTTGGTGCCGGTTCCAACGGTACTCAAACCAATGGTGGTGAATCGAAGAAACCCGAGATTCAATTTGGAAGCTCCACACCTGGTGCAAGTTCTACTCCATTCGCCTTTAGTCAAGGATCGTCAGGCCCCGGCTTCACCTTCACAGCCGGAGGGAACGGGCAATCGTTTAATAACCCATTTGCCTCCTCCAACGCGCCGTCGCCAGCACCGGCTTTTGGGAACCAGCCTTCGACACCAGCCCCTTCCTCATCCAGCTTCAACTTCTCTTTTGGCCAGCAAGCGCCATCCACGCCTAACCCAGCTCCAGCTGGCCAGGGAAATAACATCTTCGGGGGATCTTTTAATGCAGGTAACGGAGCTCCTAGTTTTAGTTTCACGGGAGCAACGCCAACTCAGAATAACTCGAACCCCTTTGCGCCCAAACCCACGCCGGGCAGTACCGGTAGCTTCTTACAAGCAAGCGGTGACGTTTCTACGAGAGCCAGTGAGTACTTTCTCGATGAGAGTCGTCAGGACTACTATACTAACACGTTGTTAGGCTCCCCTTTCCCTGCGCCATCCAGCTTAGGTACAACTCCAATTAGCGGTACGCCTGAGCCACAATCCCAAGCCGAGGATGGTGAAGAAGGACCGCAGGCGCAAATCTCCCTCACCGCAGCAAATGAGGAGAATGAGACTATTTTGCATGAGGTGCGCGCCAGGGCCATCAAGTACGTGCCGATAGTAAAGGGCAGCGATGAAGAGGACGAAAGAAAATCACCATGGTCCACCCAAGGGGTGGGAACTCTCCGTGTCCTCAAGCATGACCATACTGGGATTGTTCGTGTGTTGCTGCGCGCCGAGCCGAGAGGTCACGTCGCCATGAACAAGGCTTTGCTCTCGGATATCGAGTACAAGTCCAAGGATAAGACGGTCAATTTTGTCGCAGCAAGCGACGACGGATCGGGCCTTGAAACATGGGTTCTGCAGGTGAAGAAGCCAGACATGGCGCAACAGCTGGCTGGGGTGCTCGAGCAGCACAAGAGTGCAAACAAGAAGTAGATTGTAACTGCCTATCGAATCATTTGACTTTCTTCTATGGCTTGGCAGTTCGGCGTATAGGGTGAGAAGGACACTATAGAGTATAGCATTCCTTTCCGGCATCGTTTCGAGAGGTAAAAAGCATTCGGGTGCCCCTAGTATGGAAGGCGATTCTGCGTTGCAAATTGCAAATTTCGGGAAGTATCGAGCAAAATGAGGATGCATTGACGAGGGCTAATGAGTTGACTCGGCTTTAATACTGTATCAACATGGGAGCTTCATAAAACTGTAAAATAGTCC